ACTCACACTCACACACACACACACACACACACTCACACACACACTGTTTCTTGTGTGTAATATTCATAATATTCTCTATAAAGCTTCTAAATGCCTCATTTTTGCTCAGACTTAAGACAACAAATTGATCTACCACAAAAACAAATAAATAAATAAATACTGCAAATCTGTTGAAGCTGCATTTCTACAACTAAAATGGAAAGACATAATGTCCCTGTCGCTGAGTAAATGAAAGTGAATGGAGTGTTTTCACATGGTATTTTGCTATTCAGCCAAACAGTTCTTCGGGGAGAGATTCTAGTGGTGATAATTTTCCAACTCAGTAAAGAAGATAATAAAAACATTTCTTGGTAAACTGCAACTTTAAAAAGACCCATTAGGCTAATATAACAGTGCTTTCCTTTTAATGACTTTTCCTTTTTTTCAGCCTCTTGTTACCTTGTTTTCATCAAAGACATTGAAGACAAAGGTGGCAAATTTGGTGGGATCACCGAAGGGGAAGAATTGCTTGTAGATCTTCTGAAAGCCAGCTACGTCCAACTGACCACTGGGGCAGTCTTTGATAAAACCCTTATACCTGCCACACATACAGGAAAAATCAAACAAGATCGGAGTGAGGAGGCAGGATTGAAGGAAAAAGAGAGACTGTATTTTGTATTTAAAGAATTTAGATTTTTATTTACTAAAGTTTTTGAAAATAATAAGATTTAGACATCATAGAAGATTATAGAACACACAAATATACACAATTTTTTCAAAGGTTTGGGGTCAGTAAAGAAATTGATACTTTTATTCAGCAAGGATGCATTACATTTATGCGGAAAAATTACAATTTTCAGCAATTTTCAACTGTGATAATGATTTAAAAAAATGTTTCTTGAGCACCAAATCAGCATATTGACATTAAAGACTGGAGTAGCTAATGGCTGCTGAAAATTCAGCTTTGCAATCACAGAAAAAAACTACCTAAAAATATTTAAAATAAATTAAAATTTTAAATTATAATGGCATTTCACAATTTATTAATTTTACTGTATTTTTGATCAAATAAATGTGATCAAAACAGATGTGGTGTACACAAGAACCATTTTTCAAAAATGCTTACTGACACCAAACTTCTGAACACTGATGTAGAAGAAATGTATAAACTACCAGTGGAAAGGGAAGTGGGGAAAAAAA